GGTTAGGCTAGGCTAGGGTCGGTAGGTAGGTAAAGTAGATAGGTTAGGTTAGGGTAGGTAGGCAGGTAAGGTAGGTTAGGTTAGGAAAGTAAGTAAAGTAGGACGGTTAGGTAGGGAAGTAGGTTAGATAAGATTAGATTATGTTAGGTTGTCTTGCATGTCGGATCATAAAACTCAAGGGAGTCACTTATGACGTTTGGTGTGTGATTGCGTCTGTTTTTCTTGATATTCATTAACACGGCGTGTTAGAGATTTGGGAGTGTGGGGGGGGGGAGGTGTTTTGGGGAGGAGTGTGTGGTTTATGTGTTTGTTGATATGAGGAATATGGTCGTCCGTTGTCTAATTTGACAGCTGGGAACTTTTTGCTTTTATTTTCAGTGACTGTTTTGTGGCTAGTCTACTTGGGTGATGGATTGGGCTTGTTTTACTAGGCAATTCAAAACAGGATAAAACTTACTATTCAGGGGCCAGATTCACGAAAGCACTTACGCAAGCACTTACGAACCTGTACATCTTTTCTCAATCTTTGTCGGCTTTGTATCCAATTATTAAACAGTTAATGAACTCCGAAGCACCAGGAGGCTGTTTATAACAATAACAATTGATGAATGGGAAGTTTTCATACTTGTAAACTGTTTAATAAATGTAACCAAAGCCGTCAAAGATTGAGGAAAGATGTACACGTTCGTAAGTGCTTTCGTGAATCTGGCCCCGGACCAATAACTGTTTTATCCTTGTGATAAAAGTTAGGGATACCCTGGTTGGGCGAGTCCTGCCCGAAACGCTTTGCGTCATAGTGACTTTAAGCATTGTATGTACTAGCTCTATCTATAAATCCATCAATGTTTGTATCACACCTTGTATGTATGTACCTTACCTGAATAAACATTTGATTTTTTTTTTTGAGTGTTGATCTGGGAGGGTCGTGTTTGGCTCCTGGTGCCTGCGACTCCGCTTCCAGTCCATTTGCCTTACTGTGGTATGTGCTGGGTAGGAAAGCACCTTCGTTATTCTCCTCGGAGTGCGAGAAGGATTCGTCATTCACATGCCTGCCGTGTGTCGCTGGTTTATCTGGTTTCATAGAGTTTTCCAAGTTTTCGGTTGGAGTAGCGGTACACGCGACTCTCCCCTACGCCATGTTGTCGGTCACTGACACCACGCCGCCCGGTCACTGCTCTCCTCTGAAACATCATCAACACATCACTTCATTTGAGAAACTTACATTCCCATTATAGAGTAAAACCCGTACAAATAACCTCCTTACGATGATTTCGGGACTTAACGTCTCCGCGACCCGGTCCCCGACCAAGCTTCCTTGGTTAACCAGGCTGTTGAACGCGGCTGTTCGCAGCCTGACGTATGAATCACAGCCTGGTATCGTACGATGGATCCTTAGGCTTCCTGAGGCTGAGGTCAGAGGCAGAACATTCCTACAGCCAAAGTAGATGGAGTGGATTGTACGAAATCCTGGCCCGGCTTCAGTGAAAGCCTCAGAAACCCTCGTGTGTTCAGTAGAACTCCAAATTGCAATCCTTTTTGACCATGTCGTGGTCTAGTTGTCTGGAGAGTGCGGGTGGGAATACTCACCGCATAGGTTCGAATCCACATCACTGCTCCTGTGGATTTTCTCATTGATACATTACGTTACTGTGATAACACTGTGTATTATTATTATTATCTTATTATTATTATTATTATTATTATTATTATTATTATTATTAAAATTATTAGTATTGTTTTACATGTAATGGGTTACTTTGAAGCTAACTTCACTTTTCTCTGTAAAGTTATCTGTAGGAATGTGAAGATTCTATATTTTGTATTAAAATATCACTGTTTGACCCCCAGTTACACATTCACAAGGTGTTTTTATATTGTTGAAGTGGCAGTAAGGGTTGGTCGCCAGCCTGTTGCCAAAATGCGTTCCACAGTTTTACGCACATCGGGTGATTAAGAGCGTCGGAATTGCTGCGTTCGTACAAAGGAAACATCTATATCTGCTAGTCACCAATCACACATTATGTTATTATTATTATTATTATTTGCATTATTATTTTGATAATAAAGGGGGTACCAGTGTGGGGGTGCTAGTATAGGAGTGAATGTGGGGGTGTCAGTATAGGTGTGAGTGTGGGGGTGTCAGTATAGGTGCGAGTGTGGGGGTGCCAGTGTGGGTGCAGGGGTGCCAGTGTATGCCCCTGCCTGCCTCCACGTCACTCCTGGCACCACTCCATACGTAGGTGAGGAGTAACGTCACTCGTCCTTGTAACTCGTCACTGTTGGTCCTTGTTGACGGCTATCTCTCTCCCTATCTGTCTATCTCTCTCATTATTATCATCATTATTCTTACTATTCGTATTGTTTACACAGGGAGAAATCACACTAATGTGATATATATGTCAACGAGAAGTCCAACTGGACCTCTTAGGCGGTCTCGAACCCGCGACCAACGTACTGCCAGCCGCAACCTCTATCCACTATACCACCCTCACAAGGCCTAAAGTACAAAACCTGGGATTTTACTTCTTGTCGAGTCAATAGATATGTATGAAGTGCATTTAGAAATCTGAGTAGGGAATTATTGAGGACCTTATACGACTTGAATTATTCAGGTCTGATTTATGTCAGACCAATACAAGAATATTTTGCGCCAGTGTGGAATCTGTTCAAATCGACGTTACTGGAACGCACTGGCAAGTGAACTAGTGGAGGTAAACGCCATATACAGTAGATATACATATATGTACATATGATAAAGCCCAGTAGGCTCAGGAATCTGTACATTAGTTAATTGATGGTTGAGACCAAAGAGCAGAGCTCAACCCCCGCAAGCACAACTAGGTGAATGCACATCTCGCAGCCGAGTGGACAGCGCTCTGGGGTTATTATACTTAGGACCCGGATTCAATTCCCGTCGAGGAAGAAACATATGGGCAGAATTTCTTTCACACAAAGCAGTAAATAGTTTACCTAGCAGTAAATTGGTACCTGGGAGTTAGACAGCTGCGTCCTGGGAATGTTTGTGTGTGTGAGAGAGAAATATATGTAGTAGATATGATAGAAAAAATAGGTTAGCACAGCACGCAACCGACGGTTAGAAAGGCGGGGTCCAAGAGCTCTGAAATGGAAAATACAGACAAATTAAGCTACTCACATTCCAGAAAATTTCACCATACTTTAATTCTAGCCAATTAACAGCAGTGTATTCACGCTCAAGAGGCTATCAGCCAAATTCTAAGACGACAGAGCACCTTGAGCGAAGAGATGTGTACATGCTCCACTCTTCTCAGACTCTGAAACAAACTAAAGTACAATGAAATAATTAGATATTTGGGTCTCGTAATACAGTTGGCTTAGTTTTCGACTCACAGTTAAGGCTCCCGAGTTCGATTCCCGGGTGGGACAGAAATGGTGGGTCATGTTCCCTTTCACGTAATGCCTTTATTCACCTAGCAGGAAGTAGGTACCTGAGAGTCAGGCAAGTGTTGCGGAGTTGCATCTTGGGTTGGGTCGGTAGTTCGATCTTGGGTGGAAGAAGCCTCGATTCAAGCCTAAAATCTACACACACACAAGCTTCCTTTCCCCCTGCCATATGCAATACAGAAGATTGAATATTGTGGGTGTACCAGAAACACCAGATCTACCGTACGCTACAAAGTAAGGTTTGTTAACCTCTTCATGATAACTCAGTGTTTCCACATGTCACGGTGGTAAGCATCATCATCATTATTATCACCAATCTTATGAGATATTTCACCTTACGCTACTTTAATTCATACTCTAATATATATATATTTATAGAGAAATCGGAAAATTAAAAATTTACTAGCAAACTACATCTAGCGGGATTTTTTTGCTGCCGTTTTTGTTCAATCAAAACATAATATCGAGGTCCAGTTACTGACAGTGATAGTTAATTAAATCTAACAACTTGTTTTTAAATTTTAAAAAAATCGATTCCCATACCCCATTATTTTGCTTCCATACCCCTAAGGGTATGGAAGCAAAATAATACCCCTTAGGGTATGGAACCCCTGCTTCCATACTCCTAAGGGTCTGGAAGCAGAAGTTCCATACCCTTAAGTACATAGAATATAAGTACTTAAGTACATAGCAGGGGGTTACGAACCCCTGCTCTAGTGCTATTTGTCACATTCAAGAACTACAAGACACTAGATTTAGCCAGACAATCACAAGATCTATCGGACATACCAATTTTCTAGGCACAGTCTAGATCTATTCACGTTACATAAATTAGTCATTATAGTTCTACTAAGTATAATCTTCCACCTATTAAAAACACACTACATATACCAGACTCAAACACTCTAGAATCTAGCTCTAGAATTAAATAAATCCTAGGACGAAATTAGACGGAACGCATTATATTTAATCTAAAAACTCAGACAAGACGCTAGAAAACGATCCAAGAGTTGGGTGAGAATACTAAATTACTCCTGACGAAGGAGCAGAAGGTGCAGACGACACAGCTAGTAGAGTCAAGATGAAAGTATTCAACCCCGTCACTAGACCCGATAATATCTCATTTAGACCCATCTTGGGCATTCGAGAGTCAAATGTGTCTTTTGGAGAGGCTTCGTTCGTCTCAAGAATGCCTCCGAGGACTATCTGGGGTACTGAGCTGGCCCACGTGGCGGCGTTGAAGGCAGCGAGGGTGGCGTTGGGGTGGCTCTGCTGCCATCCATCCCCCCTCCCCGACGTGGGCCACGCTGCCCGGTAGCTGGCGGCGGCTGGGGAGTAGGCCGGCCTCCACGCCGGAGGCCCCCTGCCTGCCGCGGCCTAAGGGGAGATTTTTTCCCCCATCAGATGGCGGCGTGGACGACGGGTGGACACTGTGGGGGCCGTGGCCGCTCTCGCCCCGAGGACCTCAAGGCTCAAGTTTCCTTTTGGAGATTGGGCGCGCCCGTTTAGGCCGGCCCTCCGCCGCCCTCCGCCAGGATTAGACAATGTAACCCGGACGGGCATTCCGGCCAAAAATACCACCTTTGGCAACGACCGCAGCGCCATCTACAAAGTATAAAATTAACCCGCAGCGCTGAAGCAGTAGTCACTTCAGGTCTGCCTTTTGCCCCGTTAACGTGGTGTGCTAGAGGCTAAGTCAAGATGGTAAGTGTTCTTCAACTCTTGGATACCCACGACTTCAGTGAAGCAAAACAAATATATATATACATATAATAGTGAAAAGCTCATATAGTCAGTGCCGTGTGAACTATATAGTGACTAAATTACTGTGCGGTGAGCACCATACCAAGCCCTACACCAGAATCTACAGTGACAGTGTTGGATGTAGCCTCGTGCAGCCAGCCCCACCCCCTCACACGGAGGCGGCCACGCCTGTGTTAGTTTAGGTCACAGTGAAGATTGTTTTCCTGTCATCAATACGGAGAAAACGGCCTTACAGACGTGTACACGTCTTGCTTCTCACCGAGCACAGAGAGAAAATGTGTTTCTTATTGCCAGTAGAATATCATCAGTTACATAATGATATGAAAACAGTTGATCAGAAGCTATAGGCCTAATGCCATTGTCGGCAAAAAGTCAGGCCTCCCCATACAACCCCACATACATAATTTACAGTGCTTATTTTATGCTGTAACTTCTGTTTATTTTGATGTGTAATACTTAGTGCTAATATTTATTTTTTTCATTCTAGGAATACTAATCCTTATATATTCAGTCATGCAATCATAATCTTGTTTCCTTCAAAATTCCGAAGTAGTTAATTTAGTTTAGTTCACTTGCATGTTTATTTTTTTAAATTTAATAATGTTTTCTTGATTGCTGTAATTTACTTATGTGTTTTTTTCCTTTTCTCGTCCCCCAGGCCGCGGATCTCAGTGCTCGTGATGTAGAGAGTAAGTAAGATTGACAACATTCCTTCAGCATTCCTCTGGATAGGTTCCAGCGACCTCATGGTACTTGTACCAGAACAGCGAATGAAATTACATGCCAATTGTTACTTCCTGGACGTAACTCACAATACTAGGCTTGCACGAAGAGCTTCACAATTGGAAATTCAGTCAGAAATCGTTCTTTTGCAAAGTTCATAAACTGACAGTATTAGTCTTTGCGGTGCATGAGAACATGAGAGTGATCGCAGCATTCACAGCGCAACCAACAACGTATCCCAACTTATTCTTCGTCTGCGGTGATTATTTGATAGGCCACAACAAGAGGATCAAATATGGGGAAGCATGGCGGTGGACGGTAGCCTATCGCCGGCGAGTACTAAAAATACCTCCCGAGAATGGGGTGAGGCAAGTTGGCCAACCATGCCACCACTGCCGGCCCACTTCACTTGGCGTGTATTATTATCGTCACGTAAAATTCTCCAGCCATTCTCAGAAATATTTTCGACTTTAAGCAACTTGAAGCTCATGAATCTAGCTTTTGAAGTTCATTTGTTAATGAACAGTAATACTTTAGGAAGCGTTTATGGCTATTGTCAAGGGTTAATGAAAACGAAACTGATACTTGGACATGTTTTTGACAACATGTGTTGATATAGCCTGATTCGGCAACTTAGATGGGCCATTGGTCAACCAGCCCGTCCTCTCGAGCGTTCACAACGTCACTAAAATGATGTACTATATTGGCCTAACCTTACCTAACCGAGGACCCACGATTTGAAAACGAGACATAATGTCAATTTTGCGAGCCGCTATGATTGTTAGTAAAAAAAAAAAGTCGCCTTGGGGGATTTATACATCAAAATGTGATGTACTGTTCGAGAGTATGGGTTGGATTTTATTGTTTATGGAAAGACACTGGAAGCTGATTTTGTTGCCAGCGTTCGTCACAAATCTCCACACGTGAAGAGTTGTGACCCCAATGAACTTTAGGCTTGAGCTTCCTAAACCTCGTTGACTGATGCTTAACTTTGTGCCTCCTTCCTTAAATCGTGACTAATAATTTCAGTGACAAAATGCACAGCGGTTTTACATCGGTGCCGAAAACTTGTTTAGTTGTTCTTAATACTGTGCACCCATCCTGTAAGCGGTGGGGGAAAGGTTATAGAGGCACATGTGACATCAGGAACTGTGTTCCAATATTCACTTAACTAAGAAAGTTACAGCATTGATGAACTAATTACACAGCAAATATAGTCACGTGACCGGAAATCGGTTCAGTTCTCGTCAACTTTTTTTATTCCTTGAATTTCGGTCAGATATTTTTTAACTTACACTTATGGATATTGTTTCAAAATCACTAAAACATGTAAGAAAAGCCTCGAATTGAAGAACAAATGGGTGTATCATAGGTAAGTCCACGACACAAGCAGCCTTAATGGCAGCCATGATTCAAAATAGTTTCAGGAAGAACTTGTGAACAATGAGATTGAAGTTTGAACAAAGTAACAAATAACTGAACCTCTTACAAGAATATAAGTAGCTAAACTCGCATCTCAAGCAAAATAATAATAATAATAGTGATAAGAAAATCAATTCGAGCAATGAGGTGATTTGAACCAGCGATCAGAGTATTCCTTCACTGCTCCAGTTGATTTTTTTCATTAATATACATCACGTTAATGTGAGTTATTTCTGAATAATAATAATAATAATAATAATAATAATAATAATAATAAAATCCAAAAAATAAGACGGAGATGCAGCCAAAGCTCTGCTTCCTAAGGAATATTCAGCCTTAATAGGGACTAATTACAGTGAATGGAATAAAATAGAGCCAAATAATTAAGTTTGAAAATAACAATGTGTATACGCTGGAAGTTCAGGACTAATATCGATTCTGGTTGGTCAGTGATTTCACCAGATATTATTTTGTTTTCCGAATCTGTACGCAGTAACAACAAAACCATCTCGATATTATTAGAGCTTGTGTGCGTTAGTCCAATATTTCCAGTCATCCGAGTACCTTGTGAAATATCCAATTATCCATAAATATGAAGTCGCTAAAGTATGTCCAATTATCCAAGTATATATGCGAACGCCAAATATGTTTAGTTCTTATCTCTTCTCCCCCCCTCTCTCTCTCTCTCTCTCTCTCTCTCTCTCTCTCTCTCTCTCTCTCTCTCTCTCTCTCTCTCTCTCTCTCTCTCTCTCTCTCTCTCTCTCTCTCTCTCTCTCTCTCTCTCTCTCTCTCTCTCTCTCTCTCTCTCTCTCTCTCTCTCTCTCTCTCTCTCTCTCTCTCTCTCTCTCTCTCTCTCTCTCTCTCTCTCTCTCTCTCTCTCTCTCTCTCTTCTCTCTCTCTCTCTCTCTCTCTCTCTCTCTCTCTCTCTCTCTCTCTCTCTCTCTCTCTTTCTCTCTCTCTCTCTCTCTCTCTCTCTCTCTCTCTCTCTCTCTCTCTCTCTCTCTCTCTCTCTCTCTCTCTCTTTCTCTCTCTCTCTCTCTCTCTCTCTCTCTCTCTCTCTCTCTCTCTCTCTCTCTCTCTCTCTCTCTCTCTCTCTCTCTCTCTCTCTCTCTTTCTCTTTCTCTCTCTCTCTCTCTCTCTCTCTCTCTCTCTCTCTCTCTCTCTCTCTCTCTCTCTCTCTCTCTCTCTCTCTCTCTCTCTCTCTCTCTCTCTCTCTCTCTCTCTCTCCTGCCCTCCACCCTTTCTTTCAAATGGTCAGTTGACTTGTTTTCATGCATATTTAAACGTTGAGAGCATACGTTCCACCTGCGATATCAGCCTAGGAATAAATGATCGGCGATGGAGTGATTTGCTTGCGTTGTGGTTGCCACCTTCTGGTTGTTCAGAGTTGGGCCAGGTGGCTCACCTTGAGAACATTGGCTGTATCCATAATAGTAAGGCCGGCAACATCTCTGAAGTTGAAGGCTCTGATGTACTGACCAATCTAACCAGAATGGGTCAAGACTAGAGAGGGGTCATTTTGCGCGGTTCTCTACCTTATAGAAGAGAAAATGAGTTTCGTTTAAGGGTTTGGAGTTCGTGCTGCCAAAAAAGGTGCGGGATGTGCCTTAGAGCTGTAAGCTTGGGTGCTTGCCTGCTAAATTGAGTAAATGGTTCCTCATGGTCATTGAGAATCAAGTTTCATCTCCAAGATGTCAACTTTGCACTCAGCACTAAATTTTTCCACTCATCCATATGCCTGTACAAGGGGCAGTGTCATGCAGTCTAGTTATAATCGTCGCCTGCATTTTATCAGTGGCAAATATAACTGCCATCGCCTACCCTAGGTACGAATTGTTGCAAGGTGTGAATAATGAGCATTGTAGCAGTCGGTATTTCCATTCTTGTACATGCAAAGACTAGTGTTCTCGTCAGCATAAGCTAGAGCTTCAGAGATGAGTAGATCGTTGAAGTAGATATTAAACACTAAGGGGCCAAGCATACTACCTTGCAGTACACTGTAACCAATTGAGTGGCTTTCAAATTCTACTTCATTATAGTCTACTCCAAGAGTCCGTTCTTATAAATACTAGAACAGAACTAGAGATACAAAGTGCTTAAAGCTTAGTCAGCAGTCCCTGGTGCAATGAAAAGTAAAAAATAGTCGTTTTTAGGCTTCATACGAAGATTTTTGCGTCATCTTATTGAGTTCAAGACTAAAGTCATTGACACGTATTGCTATTGATTAATTAACAATAAGTGATGCTTTATAAAATATTAATTGTTTGTAATCTATTTTATCATAATGATCTGTATTGCTATATATTTTATTTGGAGTCACAACCTAAACTGTAGGATTTAAACCGCCATATATGTAGGATTAAAGAGTGATTTATAAAAACCATTTTGAATAAGTTTAGTTCCTGAATACATCCTGCCTTGTTCGTAATTATTATCTTTTTAGAGGACTGAATAAGAAATAGCTTATGGGGGTGAATCATTAAGTGGGAAAAGAGGCTGTATCCATTCTGTTCTATTCTGTACTTACGGATTCACAATGGCTTTCAGATAAGTTGATTCCTATTATGTGCTCTTTTTTAGAGCTAACATTCGAAGTTTACGTTAAGCAATCGTTATCATTAAGTTTGATTGCCTTAACAATGCTTATAGTATCCCTAAAAAGACTTCACCTATCATAGATCGCATGATATATTATCTAACAAGCGTATATGTGATATTCATATATGTTAATCGTACATCTGAGTACAAGGAACAAATTTCTTGTGGCTTTGTGTGTCAAAATCATGTCTCAAATTCTTAAATAAGGAAACATCTAATTGCACTAGTGGTTTTGGGCAATCAAGTCGCCTTGTTGGGCCTCCGCCACCGAAGTGTTGTGGCCAAAGCCAGCTATATTAAGCACAAAGGTGTACTCTACTTCTCGGTGTACAGTATACACACCGAAAGTTTACTTTAGTCCTGGACTGTGTTCAAGACTAAAATATAGTTGCTAGTTGATCAGTAAGCTGTTGTGGTGGCCTTAATAAACCTCGTGTGACTGTCAGACCTTAAGCCCAAACCCAAACCAGTTAAATGAAAATACTATATCACGTTCCTTGAAGATTTATAGTATCTGATTAAACACTCACTAATCCGAATACCAGGTTGTAGGAGAGAAACCGGGGAGGGGGGTGGGTAAAGGGGTGTGGTTTCTGTGGTGTTCTGGGGGCTAGCTCTGCCAGCGACCACCATATTTGGCTTGGTAGGCTACTATTTCTGGAGACACCTGATAGCACTTGGAGCTGCCAAGAGGGCACGGGGCTGGGGGAAAGGGAGAGGTTGGGAAGATGGACGCCAAGCATGCTAGGCTTTGTTCACACTTTGTGGGCCCTCTTGTTTAGCCTCATTGAATCTTTGTTTTTAGTTAAACAAAATTTAGGTGGTATCTCTAGTAATTGTTAAGATTATTGTTTGAGCATCTTACGCGTCGATAATTGGGATTAGGATAGTTATCCCTTAAAAGGAATGTCTGTATGTAGCGTATAATGAGCACAGTTTTGGTGTTTCCTATTTTAATAATAAAATAATAATTTTAAAAGGTCGGAGGCCCTAAAAATTTTAATTAACATTATTTACACGGTTGTAAGAGAGCAGTTGATTTTTATCTCACAAAAGAAAGAAACTTAGATCTATCGATTAGATTATTGTACTTTTCAGTACAGGGTAATTATTTAACTACTTGATAGAAAATGAAGTGACAGTACAATGGATGACAGTTTCGCAATGTAAGCTTTGAAACACATACCATCCTTTTTCATTCTTGAAAATAAAATGGCACCGGTCGTTGTTGATCTAACCGCAGTAGATTCTAAACATGGTAACACCATTTGCTGGTCTGATTGCTGTTTTTATTATATATATATGTATATATATATATATATATATATATATATATATATATATATATATATATATATATATAATCAAAATTAAGGGATTTATACGTCAAAATGCGATGGACTATTCGAGATACTCCGTGCGGAAATCTCTATGGACGAATTGCTATATTGAAAGTAATATTATATATTCATTAACGTGAACAAAATTTATTTACTATTAGTATAATTTTTATATATGAGTAAATGACTTAATTTATGGACCATGAGAGCACTGTTTTCCTATGGTTGGCACCTGACCAACATTGAATGATACAGATATATCAGCCAGAGTTCTTACATTTTTGTACAGCCACTAGTACGCATGGCGTTTCGAGCAAATCCTTAATCCTATGTTCCCCGGAATTCGACCCCGCCAAATCATTTAACAACCAGGTACCCATTTTACTGTTGGGTAAACACAGGCTACAATCTGTGTATCACAGATGCACGGGGAACCGTGTATCTATGCAACCCGTTCTCGCAAATTAATAAGTCAATATTGACTTATTAAATATGTGCATAGGTGACATACTTAACATAATAGATACCCTTAAAAAGATTCATAGAAAACACCGACCTTACCTAACCTTGTTAGTATCTTAAGATAAGCATCTTATTGCTTCATAATTACAATTATTACCTAACTTATAATAGGTATAGGTTAAGTAATAATTGTAATTACGAAGCAATAAGATGCTTATCTTAAGATACTAACAAGGTTAGGTAAGGTCGGTGTTTTCTATGAATCTTTTTAAGGGTATCTATTATGTTTAGTATATCACCTATGCACGTAGTTAATAAGTCAATATTGACTTTACGAATTTGCGAGAACGGGTTGATCTATGATACAGTCAGATATCATGATGATCAACCAGATATCATGATACTCATATATCAGGGACTGTATACATATATACAGTCCCACATCAGTTGTTTTCCATTCTTCTAGAGATATATTTTGATTCCATCTGGACGATCTGTTGGTCTCTCAAGATTTTGGGCCTGAAGAAATTGAGGCTCCCTTTTTGTTGTGTACTAGGCTGCGACGAGTCTCCTCTTGATGGCATTAACGTCTTTGTGTTTTGCATGCCAATCCTTGGAGCTTTTGTAATGCAGGCCGTAAAAGCCATATTGATTGGCTTCTACCTTGTTTTCTGAATCAAAGTTCATAAAAATATTTACAGTAGATTTAACTCAAGTGTCTCTTGAGCTTCAAGCGACCAAACTCTTCCTGGTATAAGTAATATCCGCCTCTTCACTTCCTCTCCACAGGGGTGAAATTCGCCTTCTCTATCTATGACTTCGAAGGCAACGGCACCATGGATGCCTTCTACATTGGCGATTGCCTTCGCGCCCTGAACCTCAACCCCACCTTAGCTATCATTGAGAAGGTCGGAGGCAAGGAGAAGAGGAAGGAGAAGATTATTAAGCTCGAGGAATTCATACCCATCTTCGCTCAGGTTAAGAAGGACAAGGACGCCGGCTCCTACGAGGACTTCATGGAAGTGCTGAAGCTCTACGACAAATCTGAGAATGGCACTATGATGTACGCCGAGCTTGAACACATCCTCCTGTCCCTTGGTAAGTCCATCTTTCTCTTCTGCGTAACAATTCGCAAAAATTGCTAACTCGTCACTTTACTCATGATGTTGTGAGTAAAATGACAAATAATAACCGAAGGAACTTAAAACAATTGATTTCATTTTTAGTTACAGTAATTCTTATGTGACTGGTGCAGCTTAGGATTTGTGGAAAATATGCGAACAAACAGTTTCACTCAAGGAATTTAACGCGTTTGCTGATGATTATGGAATTTAAGGCCTCCTTTGTACTCTAGTTGGTACCTAGAATACCCTAACAGGTATCCGAGGCATCCTGGTATATATCTGGCCATTCCAAGTAGCCAATTGTCTCCTAAAATTGAACTCAATAATCTTGCAATTATTTGGTTCCTCTTGAAAGGCGCCTGGTTATATCAAATTTATCCTACCTTAGCAGATGTTCTCTAATTGTTAGAAAATACACTACCTTATGGTCCTAGCAGATGTCCTCTAAATGTTAGAAGATACAATACCGTGTGGTCCTAGCAGATGTTTCTAATTGTTAGAAAAAACACTACCTTGTGGTCCTAGCAGATTCCCTCTTAAATGTTAAAAGACACAATGGAGTCCTAGTAGGTGGTTTGTGGGTCTAACATATTTCATGCGGCCCTAACAGAGTTGATGTGGTACTAGAAGATAGGATGTAATCGTAGCACATACCGTGTGACCCAAGCAGGCACATCCTGGTACAATCAGATTGAAATCATAACAGATACCTTGTGGACCTTAGTCCTAGCAACGAATGCCCTGCGGCCCATGATCCTACCAATGTCCCGTAATCGTATATCCTAGCAGATGACCTCTGATTCTAGAAGCTGTCCTGTTTGCTCTTGAAGATGCACAGTGTTCCTAGAAAATTCCTTGGGGTCCTAAGTGAATTTTTTCGGTCCTAGCAGATTTTATTATCTGCAGTCCTTTCCGGCATTAAGGACCACAGCTCTCACAAGTAACCTGTCCCAGAATCCCTCCTCCTCGTTCCGGGTAGTTATCGGCTTCGCTAATTATCTTCCGATGTTTCAGGTGAGCGCCTCGAAAAGTCCGAATTGGAGCCAGTGCTGAAGGAGTGCTGCAACGAAGAGGATGAAGACGGCTTCATTCCCTACGAGCGTAAGTGTCCGCCTATTTTCTGAGTTTTTTAATCGGATCCGGAATTTAAGAATCCGGAACTCCTCCCTCGCCCCCTTATGTTAAGGCGTCAAACGGTTTTGACCCCTTGCATCAATGGCCCCCTACCGATCGTGTCCCTTCCTCAAAGCAACTTGTTTTCCTCACACAGAAACTTTGGATTCATATCACATTATTCTTGAAGTTTCTTTCTATTTCTGATTACCAAGTCTTTCCTCCCCCCCTCCCAGAACATCACATAACCTTTTAAACTGGATATGGTGATATAATAGTTATTACTGAATAAAACCATTATTTTTCAGCATGTTCTATCATTTCTATAAAACCGAGGTGCCGGTGTACTTTGCAATATACAGTAAAGGCGGTTTATCTTTTCCTCTAAACGGATTATCTCCCTCAACTATTCACCCCGTCTCCTCCACGGCATCTTGCAATCTTAGATATTACGTCAGTATTTGACTGTTTCAGCCCTCCCCCTTTCTTCAACCCATATAGTAAAAAAATCACATAAAAACTCCCTTTGGCAATGCTAAGTAAAAGTTTATGAAGCAATTGTTTTTAACTTTCAACCCTCCATCTCTTCCCCCCAAACCCCAAAATTTATCGAGCTAACTATTGTATCATGAAAAAAATATAATACCAAATTAGGTTATCAAATGTACAATTCGAAAACTATGCCGCCTGTCTCCTGCTTCCCATCATGCCGGGAGACTTGTATTTTGTTAATGTTCTCTACATGTGACAGGTTGATATAGCCATATCAGTGTATGGCTACATATGGATGATATTCTGTCTATGGGCAAATTAATGTTCATATGTGAATCTTAATTTATCAAGCTACACAGCTTAAATTACTTTTACTAATTTTTCATATTTTCTACTAAGAAAATATATAACCGCTACCTAAATTTGTTGTATAATAATTTAAATATCATTTTCATTCTCTTAAGATAAAACGAAAAAAATGTAAAAAAAAAAAAATCTTAATGAAGCCTAAAGCCTCTAAATATAAAACATTAGTATTCATTTGACTAGCTGCAGCGGACAGCTTTTAGCTAACTTAAGCCAAATTAATATCTATCTGTTCACGCTTTGCTCAAAAACTCCTACCTGCACCATATAGATAGTTATGCTTCACTGAGCTATTTAATTATGACTCAAAAATTGGCCATATTTGATTGTGTTCAGATTAAAATGCTTTGCTGCCAAACAAAAGCTAGGCTTCATGATAGTAATTTTCTTAAATATACTAAAGTTGAATTGCTGCCAATTTAACTTACAACTCTTAGGTTTATGTAGGCCTATTCATGTTGCTAAGTTAGCCCAAACAAATTCAACCCGCTCTGTTTTAAGTTTGCCACCTCTCCCTGCATTGCCTACTTCCATTTCCAAACCCGGCCAAACAACTAGTCCCCTTGGTTTTTCTTGAGTGTGTAAACCCTAGTTAATTCCACTGGATGAATTTCTCTTACAGCTTTCCTTACGAAACTCTGCAAAGACATCAAGTAAAACTCCAGAAATATGCGTAAGTAGCCGAAAGGCCAGCCAGAAAAAGGAACTATTGTGAGTGCGTTCTCGTATCTCCCTCCTCTGCCCCTCTACCCTAGCCTGCGTTCTTGTAGGAAACCTGTTTTTGGACCCTTGAAATCTGTTTTTGGACCCTTAGTAGACTACGGTGATTAATATTATTAAAAGTATGGCTAATCTTCGACTCTGAAAACCGAGGATAATCTGTATTTATGATCCCTACTTAGTCCCTTCCCTATTGACTATGAAGGTAAACTATATATTTTTTTACGAAGGACAATTGTAGATTTGTTCTTCTTCTATAGAGGTTGTTTTTTATATAAATATGTTTGATTTCCTAATATAACGTTTGAGGCTTCCTACAGTAGATGTAATATGCCATATCCCTCCCTGTTGAATGTAGTAGATCTACCATCCCCATCCCTGTGTGAGAAGAGTGGAGGCACGTGACACCACGTGTTCACGGGTACTGATTACGTGGCACCACGTGTTCACGGGTCCATGTCAGTTTTTTTCGTGTTTTCTATACAAAAAATAGTATATCGTCCTCCACAGTCCGAAAACGACGCCTACTGATCCATTTTTGACCATTCCCAATTTTTGTGATGGGGTTTTCAGGTTATTTTTATATTTATTTTTGTAACAGTAGATGTTTACGGCACTTGATTCTTTGCAAAAGAATCAAGGTTTATATGTATTTCCATTTTTATATCACATCCTTTGAATGTAATTTTCAGGCATTTAATACATTTTGATTACAATTAACTAATTATTTTTTCAGCTTTCCTTAAGAGAATTTTGGCCTTCAAAATCTAGAGGACACTTCTAGTAAGTTTTGACACAAAAGCGAGAAAACCTTTTGATGTGTCTTAAGTAGAGAGTTTTGACTCTGCGTTAACCAATGGTAGCCCGCCAATTTTCGCTCATAACAAACATTTTTGTTTCATAGTACTTTTTTTCCGTTCGTATTCGTCCAATAATTTACGGTATCTTATGTTTACAGTGAATATATATTCAGTCTTCACATATCAGTAATACTTGTTTTGTTCATTTCCCGTGGTTATAGTTTTATTTTCCTTTTTATATGTTTTCTTTCTTCAAGACACAATAATTCTTGACGGGTTTATTTATTTCTTCTGTGTTGTACGCGGTAAACATCGCAGTTCACTCTTCTTTTGTCTTCAGTTTTATTCGCTTTAACTTTTAACTTACTTAGTGTTCTAACTTCTTTAGATTGATATACTTAGCATTATATCCATGTATCAGGGACCCCTGCTTTTATTTGTTAACGCAATAAAAATTAGATTTTTAGTGATAATTTCTAGACGAATCAGTTAGTAAGACGATCTGGTTCTAAACATAGGATTACTAGCAGTAGAAAAAGCATGCTTTAGTGTTTTGTAGAAACGTTGAAATTAGTTATATAAATATGTACAATTTTGAGTAATGAAATTTAAAAAAAAGTGTGAATTTTGTTTTTATTTTTGTGAAATTTTGAAATAATAGTCTGATTATTGGAGTTATATATAGACCACCAAACTTCAGCAGAATGGAAGCAAAGCAAGTATGGGATGAATTATCTAGAGCATCTAGGTCAAACAGTTTTTGTGTCATGGATGACTAATTTTAGTGGCATGAACTGGATTAACAATACAAGGAATACCGACGCAGAAGATTTAGTAGAATTAGTTGATTGTTTCCTTAAGCAACATATTAGAGAGCCACCCGGAAAATAATACTTTAGACTGTAGTGTTAACTAACAGAGACACAAATAAATAACAGAGGGAGTGAGTTAAGGAAGAATGATCACTCGTAAAACAGATTTAGCATTGACCGGAATAGATGTGTAAGAGAGAATTCTGTTTAAGGTGCCAGATTTCCGAAAAGCGGATTTTAGTGTACTGGGAATTTTCTTGGGAAGGGTAGAGTTTTGAAAGACCTAAATATGGGAGGTGGGTCGGTCTTGTAATGTTTGCCAGGGTGATCACAGAATGCAAAGAAGAGCTTCGTGAGCCCCTTGTCTTGCGTGTTCAATAACTCATTAAGAGTCGGGCTGTGTACCGGTGTTTGGAGGGTTGTTAATGTGGTACCAATTTTAAAGAAAGGAGTTAGATCACCTGCGTTGAACTATCGGATAATTAGCTTAATGTCTAGGTGAGAAAATTGCTTGAATCGATAATTTCAAAAGCCATTCGTCTTGGAAAAACATTGATTAATAAATGATTCACAACATAGTTTTACTAACGGCCGTTTATGTTTGACAAATTTGCTTTAATTCTATTCCAGCATAATATTTGAGGCAGTTGATAGTGAAAAGGATTTTGACGTTGTGTATCCTGACTTTAGCAAAGCTTTTGATACGGTGCCACACGAAATACTGATTAGAAAGACAGAGGCTCACGGTAATGGGGGTGCTATATTAAGCTGGATAAGGCCATGGTTATATCAAAAGAATCAGTTAGTATAAATGGAGTTATGAGTGTGAACCGTTGTAATTGAAGTGCCTGAAGACTCTGTTCTGCCACCTCTATTGTTAACCATATATATAAATTATTTAGATTCAGGATTAAGTAGCAACTTATGAAAAATTGTAGACGGTACGAAAATGGAACAGGAAATGAACTGAATATCACTTGAAGATGGTCTAGGCAGGCTTTTGAAATGATCGAAAGATTTGCAGATGCAGTTTAATGCTGACAAATGTAAGGTTCTGAGGCTAGATAATGATTATAGAGTTGGAAAATATCAGCTGGATGGAACTGAAATTGCGAACTATGAGCGCGAAAAAGATCTGGGTGCCATGATTAGTAGGAATTCAAAGCCAACAAAAAGGGTTGTTTATTTGTGGAATAGATTCCTGGGCAACTTAGTAGATGTTGGATTACTTGATTATTTCAAGCATAGGTTATATGAATGAGTTTTGGTGGGACCAAATTTTTTTATATAAAGAAGAGCTGCCACGTATGGGCTAATAGGCCTTCTGCAGTTACCTTAATTCTTGTTCTTAAGATTTTGCTTTGATAGTTTAAAGCCTGCATGATAATTTTATAAAATAAATTTTTAGTTGTGCAGTAGTGAAGGCATATCTATATTAAACTCTAATGCTTGTGTTCGTCTTCCCACAGCTTTCCTTAAGAAGATGACTCAACTACTCTAAATACGTCCGCCATCTTCTTTTGTGACGTCATCACAGAGTGCGCATGCGTGCAACACCACCGCCATTCGGAGTGTCAGTGCGCAGTGTACAATCATTCTGTGGGCTCGACCAAACCACAGACATTTATTAGCTAAATTATACACATACACCAAAAGTATATAAAGATTACCAAGATGAAAGTGAATATAAGTGGAAAAATTGTTATATTTGACAATGTGAGCCACCCGTCACATGCTCATCACTTCCTGTCCGTATGTGTCTTGTGTCCGTGTAGCGGTGAAGGTCCCATGGATCTGTGGAACGTCTCCTTTTTCTGTCTCATCCACGCGGGGTGAAGGAGGGGTCAAGGCAGGCGCGACCCGTGTTGACTTGTAGACCTGAAGTGACCACTGAATTGATCCGCACATAGTTGACCACCCGACATCACCTAGAGGTGGGAGACTATAGACGCCATTATCAAGACTCCCTCCCCGCAATAGCCAGCCGGCCCAGCCGACCATCGCCGCCATCTTGCGGGCCCCGCGCGCGCGCGGGAGGGACAAGAAAACTCAAAAAAAGAAACATCCAAGACTCCATCATCACGGTCGCGCCCTGCCTGCGCCCTAATGCCCCAAGAGTGCCTCTGAACGCGCCCAGCGAGGTGACCAGGGGGAGTGTCTCAGTCAGTCAGTCAGTAAACAAGGCCAACATCAGTCAGTCGTCAGTCAGTCAGTCCGCTCGCAAAAAGCCATCGTTACCAACTGCTGTCTGTAGACACATTGGTTAAGTTCTATATCGTCTCAATAAAACAAAACCACATCATGGTGACTTTTTTTTATTCCCAACGCAAATGAAGCAAATGTTGAAATGCTTAGAAGAAAAAATAAGTTGAATTATAAAAGATTTTAATAAAATAACCATTTGTATTTTGTCCTTTTATTATCTCAAAGGAAAAGGTATATGTATATGTATATATATGTATATATATATATATATATATATATATATATATATATATATATATATATATATATATATATATATATATATATATATATATATATATATATATATATATATATATATATATATATATATATATATATATATATATATATATATATATATATATATATATATATATAGCTTGAAATTGTGCACCTTTGTATTATATTCCCTGATACCAGCTAGAAAACGAAAGGATACCTTGTATTAGTCGTCCAAGGATCAGGCTGCCATCTTGAGGATCGACTGTGTAACCACTGTTTCTAGAACGTTTTATTTAACAAATTGGAAGTCTAAAACATCATTTTTTTTTTTATTAATATTAACAAGCTTAGGTATACACAACAATGTGTTGCTACCCTATTCTATATGAAAGATTGCAGTGTAAATAAAAAAAAACTAGCTGAAAGTTCATCTAATACTCCAATCCCACAGGATGGTTAGTCATACATGGAATCAAGAGAAAATATCAGCCTCAATACAAAAACAAATAAACTGACCAAAAATCAGGTGAGAACTTAAAATTTAAGGCTGATCTATTAGCCCCCATTAGCAAAATCTGGGTACAGCACAAAAATATTTTGCAATATTCCTGAGTGTATGAAGTAATTACAAAGCTCAAAGTATCTCATACCATTTGGTCTGAAGTCACTTATAACAGGGCAATCACAGATATAGTGTTGGAGAGTATGTCCCAGCTATATTTATATCTTGTATATTCTGTTCACATAGTTTACTATTGGAATGTTCGCCATTTGGGAGATTCATTACCTGCAGCCACCTGCCATAGATATCGATGTCCCAGCCTAATTCTGGCAATTACAATGTCACACTGTCTAGTGGATGTTTTATGCTGCCCGTACATATAATTCTCGGTTCTAAACGTGTTATAGCTCTTTATACTTGGGCTTTCTGGCCTTTGTGTGTCAGTGACTGTTCTTCTGTCTTCCCTAGTTTCCTGGAATATTGCGGCTTTTACAGCAGAGATTGGAATGCCAATATCCAACTCAATTCCAGGCTTATCACATGCAGTTTTAGCTGCCTTGCCTGTGTCGTCATGCTGGACAACACCTATGTGAGATGGTATCCATACAAATGAGACTGAAACTCTTGCTCTTTGCATTAATAACGTTGTTTATAATATATGTTACAACAGTTCTAGTGTCTTATTTAGTATGTTGGGGTTTTAAGGGCCTGAAGAGCTGACTTTGAATCACAAAATTACTCCTCCACTGTTCTTCAGTGCGTTAATGGCAAGCTGTAGTGTAGCTAAGCCAGTTATTGAGTCTTACACTTGTGGTCTGTGTACATATGTTGTTTCTGTATACTCTACAGGCTGCTGCAGTGCGACCTGTTGACATTTGAAGAGACCCATCAGCGTAAGTTTGTGAGTCGAAGTAGGTTTGGGAGTTAGTCTCAGTTCAGATATGTTAGGATAAATTAGAGTACATTAAGTAACATGGGAGTTAATGTGTATAAGGTTAGGTTAGGTTGGTTGAAGATGGGTTATGTTATGTTACGGGTTATGTTATGTTATGTTAAAACTCTCACAAGTCAAGTCTGGCCCCGGGCCGGGCTTGGGGAGTAGAAGAACTCCCAGAACCCCATCAACCAGGTATCATGTTATGTTATCGTATTTCGGATCTTTACGCCTGGGATGTGATTCCATCAGTCTTCTTTGACGTGCCAGTAGTACACCGTGTTGAATCTCTAGGAATGGATCGAGGCCGTGTCGCGGGAGAGTGTGATTTATATGTTTTTTTTTCAGTCACAGTGCCAGGTCGCTGGGAAGTCTGTACAGCTGGGGATGTCTTACTCTTAGTGCCAGTGGTTGGAGTTTGTGGCAAGTTAGCCAGGGAAGTGACCTGGGGAAGGCGTGCTATATAGTTATTTAGGAGTTAGTCCAGCATCAGTTCAAAAGATTTGTATACAGCAATGGTAACTGCGTTAGGGTGGATGTCATTCTCTGTAGATGTGGATGAGGTGTGTGTGTTGGGTCAGCCTCGGGAATGGGTTTGTTTACTTGCGTAAAGAATTTAGTTAAGAGTCGGTCCAGCGTATTTTCTAGTGACAAGAGTCTCATTGATCGGGACTCAGTTGTATGTTTTGTGGGAGAGGATTAGACTCTGGGGGTGCTTGTTGGCTTGTACCATACCAGGTACAAGCAAAGGTTATGGTTGAGTGTGAGGTAGTGGCTGATGATGGACTAACTTAAGTTGTTTCAGTGCACTACTGTATTGCAGGTTGTTGGTGGAGGAGGGTCTTAGTTTTTGCTGCTATGTATGAAGGACATTGTTTGAATGTAATATCAGTTTGAGCAGGTGAGTATATCTGACGCAGTCTTGTGTGTAATGGGAACCAGAGCACTTCCCACATTTGATGTCTTTGGTGTTGCCTTTCAAGGTATGGTTCAAGTTCAAGTATGTTTATTGAGACAAGAAAAAATACACTTCAAAGGGATAGAGTAGCCTAGGCTATTTCTACCATCCCATAAGGTAGCCCGAAACACTACGCGTACTAGTGGCTATACAAGAATGTAACTACTCTTGTATATATAAATACATAAAAATACAAAATAAATGGTTAAAACCTTTACATCTAAAGCACTGAGTGGGACGTAGTACGTACACCTCTAGTTTATGTATGGAACCTAGTCATTCCCTAACGAATTAAAAAGCTGTCCAACCTAGGCCTTATTCAAAAGTAAAACCAAAAAGTATCTAATTTGATCCACATAGTTTCCTACCTAGTGCTTCAAACTCACACTGTATCTTGTGCTACCCACTTCCCCCAATATATGTGTCTAAGCCATACAACTTCACCATTGTAATCACTGCTATCACCTTACATCATGATTATTGTGTTGAATGCAAATTTTACTACAATGTATCTAGAATTAATCCTCAAATTATGCTACTATGTACCTGTTGACAATTCTCGAATTTTACAGTAATGTACCTATTAATTTTCTTACTATGCATCAGTTAATTAACATTCTTCAAATTTCCTCCTTAAAATTATGTGTTAGATAAAGGACCTTCCAGAAACGCTATGCGTATTAGTGGCTTTGCATGAATGTACAAACATCAATCCTATGTGCTCTCATAAGCCCAGTGTACCTTCTTCTATATAAATAAATAAATAAATAAATAAATAAATAAATAAATAAATTATGAAGGAAGCCGTTAATACAAACCCGATAAGGGTAAAAGTAGTCTAGACAAGTAAGCAGTGCCTATAGCACTCAGTTCGTTTGTTCTACACATAAATTTTTTGACTCCGAAGATTGGAATGCCATCTGCCTCAAGTTGTGCCTTGATGTCGTCTGTACTAATGTCTACAGCATGTCGGATTATATATTTCGCTAATCGGTCACCTATAATGGTTTGTAGCATCTGACTTTGTATCCAGAGATGTCAGTAACGTCTGAAAGCTCTAATTCCTCGCTGGCTTGTGGTCCACTGCGATTAAGTTCCTTAGTTTATTAGGTATAATATCGTGTACTTCTATCTTAAATATCTTAGGAATGGCATGATATATACCGCAGTTAAAGTCCCGCTCCTGTGCCAGGTAAGTCCACTACGGACTCACCATAACCCGTGTTACATAGAACTTTTGTTCAGAGAAGCTGAATCAAAAACAATAACTGGCATGATATATGGTACTGTATGACCTGCTATTTCCAAAAACACTCCTACGGACGTATCATCATCAGGGCAATGATGAACGTTTGGTCGTCCTACCTTGGTTGAGGGGAGGATGTTGATACAAGAATGTAAGAACTCTTGTATATATATACATAAATACACAAAATAATAAATACCGAGGGCGGGTTGGTGTGTTTACTTCAGGATGCTGGCGGGTCTGTAATGTTTACTGTCCAAGACAACGTCCTCTGGATCCTCCTCCTCTAAGACCACGAGACCATCTTGATCTAAATGTGTGCCATGTAACAGTGGTTTCTTAAAACCCTCAAAGGTATCGTGAATGTTTGAAGGAGAGACGACGTGGGCGCCTCCAGCCGTCGCCATGTTGTCTTGCTCCCCATTGTGTCGGGGGACAGGCAGCCAGTGTATGTTTATACACGTTAAGCATATGTCGAAGCCTCCCCCCCCCCCACAAGGTTGAATTACTTTGAGCTCTGTAATTACTTCATGCGCTCAGGAATATTGGAAGATATTCTTGTGCTGTACCCAAATTTTACTAGTGTAGGCTAATAGTCCTCCGCTAGCCTTACTGATCATTGTCTATTGATTCCATGTATGACTAACCATCCTGAGAGATGAGAATATTAGATGAACTTATAGCTAGTTTTTGATCTACACTGTGTAATCTTTCATATAGAATTGGGTAGCAGCACATTGCTGTGTATACCTAAGCTTGTTAATAAAACTAAAGAGAACGAACCCGACTGTCATACCGGTACCCAGTAAATAATAATAATAATAATAATAATAAATAATAATAATAATAATTAATAATTAAATAAATAAATTAATAATAATAATAATAATAATTAATAATTAATAATTAAATAAATAATAATAATAATAATAATTAATAATTAAATAAATAAATAAATAAATAATAATAATAATAATAATTTTATTTAAAATATATACGTAATAATATGCTACAAAGATAAATTAGTTGATGCCAAAATTGCATATTATATAAACCCGTACTATATAATTCCAGCTTAGATATAAATAACATGCAAAGCGCTTGGGGCATAACAAGAGAGTATTATACTGCATTTAGGCTTTGTATAAGACACTCTAAAATAACAAAATAGTATGTTACATATGATGAAATTATATGTAAAGACCTAATCAACTATCATCAATGTTTGTATGCAATAAGAGAGTTATTTCAACAGTATGTTCTGTACATTTTGGAACTGGGTCACATCACAAAATCAATCCTTCAAGCTGACAGAAGTTCACACTAAATTTCAATATATTACTCATTTTACCATCAGAAACTTTACAGAAAAATACGAATGACGGGAATATTGAGGTTTAAAAGTCCTTAAAAGCAGTTTTAGGTCAAGTATATATAATGGGGGTCGCGGAGGCCTCATCCTTAATAATTACAGACGAGGAAGCTCCCGCCAGATGCCCTCCACCCAATCTTCTCGCGCTGACCTCCCAAACAAAATCCAACAAAATACGCCAAATACGACTAATAATAAAAATATAGACGCTATAAAACAAGCAAAACGCTACACTTATTTTGATATTAATTCCTTGAAAATTGCACTGAAATTCCCAGAGGAGTACTGATCGCGACGAGGTGAAGGGAATCGGACAAGTGGACTCGAAAATCAAAACAGACGCCATATTGCCTCTCTTGTTTACCTCATCCGTTAGCATCTCTGGGGAGGATTTTCCCGTGTTATATTTAATTCTGGAATGCCTTTGTGTTTAGCATAAGGTGAGTTGTGTTCCTAGTAAGCAGAGGATTGTAATGATGTAACTATTTTGTCATTCAACTCTCTGGATATAATAATTTGGGGAGTGAAATGAGTCTCAAGCTGTTTGTGGATGCTGCAGGCTGGACAAAAGGTCGTTTAGAATATACTAGTATTATATTTTTTGTGATCATTAACCCAATTTTTGGAGAAAAACTTGAATTAATGTATTTATTAACGTGGAGTTGGCTTTGTAATAAGTAGGGAATGAGTATTCCTTCGAAGATTATATATATCTGCAGAGTTGAAGTGACGTCAGTTCTTTTGTTTATCATTTGTATTTTTCAGTTTTCCTTTTATGGTATATTGCAATATACAAATCATTGAATAAATAGTTAATTATTTAAAAGACAGCTAAAGCAGTGTTGTACAATTAAGGTTAAGTACACCATGATGGGGTATGGTCAAATTGTATGGCAGATGGTTGGACAAAGCTTGCTTTCTGATTATAATATAATTCAATTTGTCAAAACCATATGCATCATTAGGTTAGGATTTAGTAGGCTAGGCTGTGTTAGGCTCATTTGGTTAGGTTGGGTTGAATAGAAATGATGAGGAAAAGGACCTTGGAGTCAGAATCCACCACTCACTAAAAGTTGCACAGCAGGTGGGAGCAGCAGTCAGAAAAGTTAACCTTGGAATAATCAAGCATACTTTAGACTTTAAGGAAAAGAAAGTAATGATATGACTCTAAATCTCTGATGTATTCGGATTACTGTATCCAAGCATGGAGATATTTTCAGGACAGCTGCTCTGGAGAAGGCAACACTGGGTAACAAAAGTCATTCCAAAGCTAAATCATCTCTCGTATCAGGAACTCTTGAAGGCCACAGGGCTAACAACACTGCAAACCAGGCATGACAGGGCAGATCTCATTGAAACTTAAAATACTGAACACAAAATACTGGGGATGTTGATCCAAACAATTTCTTCATAAGGTCAGATGTAACACAAACAAGGAGCAATGGTTTCAAGCTCAACCAGCCACAATGTAAAACTGAGAACAGGAGATGCTTTTTCAACCATAGGAATATAAACCCATGGAACTGCCTACCCGTTGAAGCCTTAAATGTCAAAACTGTGTTAAGTTTTAAAATCTAGCTAGAAAAGATCAAGGCAAATGGGGGTACCTTCAATAAGCTGCCAGCTTCCTGTCCTTGTTGAGGCCACTAGGGTTAGTGGCCCTCAGGTAAATCAGGTAGGTTTTAAAATCTGCTGAGGAACCATGATTTGTACAATGAGACTTGTATCCACTATTCTGGCTGCTAGGTTCACAGTACTGGAATATAGCACAACCTAGTTAGTCTAGGAGACAGGTCACTTCATAAAGTTGAATATTTGAAGTTTTGCCAATAAATTTTAAAACCTAACCTAACCCAACCTATCCTAACCTACTCCACCCTAACTCAATTCAACCTATACTAACCCAGCCTAACCTATATGAACATTACTAAACTTTATCAAATCTATCCCAACCCAACCTAGCATTCCCTAACCTAATTCAACCGAACCTAACTTAACATGTACCGGTACATTTTTCTTTATTTGAAAATGTAGCATGTGCAAAATCTGTATGTGATTAATGTTTTTGCCAATGAAAGATAGGAGCTATAAAGAAGTGATAATAACTTTGTTTAAGTTATTTAAACAAGTGTTTGTGAATGTAGCATAAGATATTTGTGGGATAATTAATAGAATGGGATTTGCACCAGTATTGAATGTAATATCCAGTACTGTACTATATTTCTTAAAATTTTCTTTAAATAGATTGATATTTTCCTAGACATGGATCGTGAATATGAGAGACGTTTATTGCGCCAACAAAATGGCCCGGTTAATTCACCTGCATCTCCTTTATCGGTATGTTTGAGGTTCTTCTTTTCCCGTTAGTGTGTGTGCTATGTAATATATACAATGGGGGGGGCACATGTAAAGCTCTCATTGAATGAAACAAATTAATATAGTTTGATTTCATAAATTGTATATAACTTTTAATACACTATTTCTGTTGCAGCCCCGTCGTCAGTTAACTCATATATCTGTCCAGTCGCCAAGTAAAGACCGCACAGGTGATAGATTTATTCCCACTCGCGCTGGTGCCAATTGGGATGTTAATTTTGCTCTTATTCAAGTAAGTTTTGTTCTTGTTTGTCCATTCCTTCCCCCCGTCCCATCCCAGATGGGATGGGGGGAGTACCCAAAACATTGTAGGATGATATGCGTATCTTGTATAAAAAATCTTAAGATACTATTCTGTTTTAGAATAGTTAATAAATTATTGTTTTAAATACACAAATTATAATTAAAATAAAAAACTATGGAATGTGTGAAGTCGAGTCTAGTTTTATGCAAATTTGTTAGATGTCCCAAACCCAGAAACTTTAATACTTTTTCATTGTTTCGAAGTTTGTCTTTGAAAACTTGCACTCAATCGTCATGTAGAATAGCTTGTAAGATCTGAATTTTACTACTAAAAATTCTATAATTTTCAATTTCAGGAAAACAACAAAGTAAATAATGAAGTGCGTAAAGGTCGTGAAGGGGGAGAAGGCAAAGATGGGGTTGCGTACACCACACTTCTTCGTAATGAACTCCTTGGTACAAACATTGAGGATCTAAGAGACACCCCAGACGAAAGACGAGCTCTCTCGCCTGTTCAGAATCCTAACCTTTATCATGTGAGTTTATATTTTGTCTTATAAGTAGCCATTTCTTTCTCTTACTCTAATTTGATTAAAAAATATTGTATTCTACAGTCAGGCCTCCATATATATCAGGAATATGTTCTCAGATTACATCAGCTTATGCAGTTTTGTGGAAATGAACAACGATACCTGTATATGTGAAAAATATAGTTGTATTTCAGAGGCCTCCTGAAGTAAATTTTTCAGTACAGTAATGTACTTTCAGTTAAACTGTTGCAGCCAAATAAACTCTTGGTCACATTAGCAGTGACAGGTACAGTACATGTACTGAAATTGACATGTTTTCCTCAAATTTTAATGATATGCACATGTAACTGAAGGCGTTCATGTAGGATGAGGCAGGTTTTTAGAGAAGGTGCATCTTCATGTGGAATTATCTCAAACTGACTATAACAATGTCATAAGATGTTGGCTGACAGCAGATGATGTGGGTAAAGTCACAGGTAGCAAATGAAAACAGTACGTGGTTATGTGAGCGAGGACTGCTGGTGGTGTCACCATTAGAGCACAAGGAACATCAGTGGTCATATTGCTGTGATGCATTTTCCTAGCAGCTGTTTGGCCCTTCCTGCTTGACAATGGAAATTTAGATACAGCAGGGGAACAACAAAAATAAGAGGATGTTAACCCTTTGGTTGTGACAGTTGGTTTACTGTTTTGATGCACTGAGTTACTTCTTAATGAGATTGAACTTGTGTTTCAACTTGAAAATAACTAGTATTATACAGTTGCTGGAAAGTAATGGTTGAGTATGCTGCTGATCGATTGATTGATTGATAAAGATTAAGTCACTCCAGAGGTGGCACAGGCATGAATAGTCCATAAGTGGAGGCTGTTTGAAGTAATTACTAGTACTAGTAGCTAATACTGTAGATTTGTGGGTGAATAGGGTCTGGAAAGTGGGACAGTCAGAAGTATAGTCTGGAAAGGAAGCTTCGGCGTTGCAGAGAGTAGAGCAGGGCTCAACCCAGCAACCGGGCAAGGATTTTTGGATATATAGAAGAATCAATCACGCTGCACAAAGCACCAAGGGGGGGGGGGGGGGTTGGCCAAGAAGGCGGAGCAGCAGCCAAAAGTCTTTGTTGGATATTCCACAACAGCATCACTATCTCAGGAGCCCCTCAGGGCTCTATTTTTCCTGTTCTTTGGTTTCTTGTTTTAGCTTCGTGTCTGTACATGGGTGTCCACAGGCGACAGTATAGGGTATCGTGGGAGATCCTCAACGATATTCTACTGTAAGTCAGTGGTGATCTGGCCAAAATGTATGCTGCTATTTTCATCCCATCCTCAAAACAAAAGGCCTGATTAAATTCCATGTAACAGTCAATCCCCTTGCTCATAAATTAAATGTACTTTCACATAAGTCACAACTGACAATGTCCAAGTTTCTCTCTAAATACCTTCTATCACTTACAAAGTTCCTAACACATCTCAAAATGATTCATACACTTCTGAACTCCTAATTACCTAGCAGATTTTAGCAATGAACTTCCTAAAGGCATGTTTCTGTTTTTTAAGTCACAAATTACAGTACACACTTTCAGTGTTAAATTTTTATTGCAGAATATTTAGGTGCCAAAATTCAAGAATGTATTAATGTGCATTAAAGAAGTAAGCTCTGTCAGGAAAACATGCTGCCTTGAGTCACACATTGTCAGTTGTCAATCGTCTTGAATGTCTAGGTGATTGATCGTACTCTATGTATAATAGGCGTGATATAAATACAGTAGATATAAATAGGCCCATATGTGGCCGCTCCTATTTATCGTGATATACTGTATATAGTAACAGCCTCATATGGGTGCATTGGAAGCAGTTCATATTTATATCAATATAAATGATATATTTATATCAGACAGGACTTAAATAGGCCAATCTGACCATATGAGAGAGCTCCTATCTGTATCAGTTTAAATAGGAGTTGCTTTGTATTGGCCCATACAAGGAAACTCCTATTTAATTATGTATTTAATTATAATAATAATAATTCATTGTCAGGGGACAGGCAGCCAGAATGTATTCATACACATTAGGGTTATAATGCCTAATGAGGCCCCCCCCCCCAAGGTCGAATTACTGACTTCCCAGGATGCAACCCCAAAACACGCTGACTAACTCTTGAGTACCTGCTTTCTGCTAGGTGAACAAGGACAATAGATGATAGGAAATGTGGCCAATCATTTCTGTCTCGCCTGGGATTCGAACCCGATTCTCAATTGGGCATCGAGAACAAATCCGACTGTAATACCCAGGAACCTACTGTGTGGATTGGAGTGTGAGAATGGAGTGAAAAGTTTATACACAGTGAGTCCTCATTTAGCAGTCACCTGTGATGCCAAGTAAGGGGTCAGTAAGATTTTTGAGTTTTAATGAATGTAACTCTAATGCTTATTCTGGTCTAGACTGAGGTTTTCTCCAATGCTTTCCTAATATCCTTAGTGACCCTTGTTTGAAAAGGTTCCTACAGTACAAGTGTGTAGAATGTCGTTCTGCCTTTCTGCACATGAATTTGGTGTGTGTACTGTACTTCAGAAACCAAGTGTTTTAACTCGGGAAGCTGCTTTTCATAATGACGCTAAGCCATATTTTTACATATACTGTATGTTTATATTTGCTCCTGGTTCTCTTATAGTTTTCACCACGCAAAAATCATCAAAGAGAGGATACTTTGTCGCCATATTCCTTGTCTCCTGTAAGTGCCAAGAGCCAAAAGTTGTTGCGATCTCCAAGAAAAGCTGCACGGAAGATATCCAAAATTCCCTTTAAGGTATGTACAGACTATACAATGCTTAGAAATATCCGGTACACATAGTTTGATAGAATTTTACTGTTGCAATTTCAACTTCTAAAGGGCTCTGTATCTTTTGGGTGTTATAAAAACTTACTTTGCAAATACAGCATCTTAATTACTATAGTGAAACACACAGAATTGTATGTATGACTTATACAAGTCCCAGTGTTCTAGTGGTAAAGTATGTGGCTTGGCAGTGCTTGGGGTTGTAGGTTCGAGCCTGCCTCGTAGTTCTAGTAGCTTTACTCATTACTATACTGTATCATTGTTTACATAAAGAAAAAATTATTTTAACCATACTTTTGTTGGCAACTGATATAGTATATGAATAATGTTTGTTATTAAAAGGTGAGATATTATTTAAAGGTCAATTTTTTCAAGGTTTTAGATGCACCAGAGCTCCAAGATGACTTTTATCTCAACTTGGTTGACTGGAGTTCCCAGAATGTTTTATCTGTGGGCCTTGGGCACTGTGTTTATCTGTGGTCAGCATATACGTCACAAGTTACCCGACTGTGTGATCTTTCCTTGGATGGTGACTCAGTAACGTCAGTCTCGTGGTCTGAAAGAGTAAGTTAGTTTTTCTTTTAATAACTCCATTGGGTAGTAACTCTATTTCTTAAATTACTAGAGAAGATAAATGCACAACTTACCAAAAATTCAGTAATTGTTATGTAAATATGAATATTCAATGTACATTCAATCAATGAACAGCTTTTGATACATGAATTACTATGTGTGTGACACTAAATCCTAGTAGTTCAGGATGAAATGTGCCATATTTATATGTAGATGAGCTTACAGCTATTGAATCAGAGGAGATAATATGGAGAAATGGTGTTGGTAAAGCCTTTAAGACAAAGTGATATTGAAAAGGAAGGTAAGTAAGAACAAATATTTGCAAGAGATTAACAGTGAGAAACAGTAAAGCAACTACTGTACTGTACAGTATTACAAAGTGGAGCACTTGGGTATTGATCTTCACAAGTTTGAAATGTTCGAAGTGCTTGTATGATGAAGTATATAATGTCTGCAAGTTTAGAGGATCATTGAACTTTATGTACCCATTGCTCATCCACTGCACTTCATGTTGTACAAAAAACAATTATTGGGACATTTTTACTACACATTTGTCTGGTTTCATAACTTTTCATGTAGATGTCATGAATTGCAAATTGCAATTTGAAGTTAGGTAAATTGCACAATATAACACAGTTTTTGTTCCTAGGTGGTAAGTGTTATTTCCTAATTGGATATGTCGTAAAAGGATAGAAAATAGCTATTATTTTCCTTAAACTTTCCTTTATGACCTGGACAGTGGTATTTTGAAATGTCCATATTCTCAGTGAAAAACCAGCAAAATTTGCATCTTTTCATTCACACAAAGTCAACGAAAACAACATATGAATCAAAATCAACATGTATTTATACTAAAGTTATATTTTCTTCTCTGCAGCAGTATGAAGTTTCATGGTGGTCCTTCAGTTATTTCTTGGGTGGAGAATGTGCTCTATAGTATTCTTGTTTCCTGCTTTGTATGATGCTTCCTCCACTCCTCCATGGGTTTGGTTCGTTGTGCCAAATATAGTTACTGACATTTTGGTACTAAACACGTATGAATGGTCCCATTTCCCAATTCACAAGTGCAGCCATATCTTGAGTACTTGAGTAAAAGTATCCTTTCTGCTGTTGTACTCTTTCCTACAATCCCTGCACTTTAGTTATATTTTCCAAACCTTGCCTGTCCCAGCTTTACTGACATATGTTTAAGCTTGATCAACCTAGAGTGTATCCCTGTGCCCACGATTTGAGGAAATATGCAACACTAACTCCTTTTTCAGAAATGTCCTGTTTGGATATCGGGGCCCATAAATTTTTTAGGTCGATACAAACCTTCATAGTTTAACATATTCCTCTCCTCCTTTAAACCCCCTTTGCAGTGTTGCATTGCTCTGAGGCACCGTCAAACACTTTGCCTTTGGAATGGCACTTAAGATTTGGTAGCTTCTTCACTTCATCTCCACAACAGGCCCCCCACTTTACAGTGTCTTAAAATACACTTTTTCTGAGCATGTTCTTCAGACTCTCCTGTTTCCACCTTGTCTCTTACACCTGAGCATGCTTGTGTGGTTTGAACTTCAAGTAGAAGTACCTACCTGTTGTTGGTGCCAGGAATCAATGTCCCCCATGGTCCAGTCTCTGACCAGGCCTCCTGGTTGGTGTTCTGGTCAACCAGGTTGTTAGATGCTGCTGTTTCCAGTCTGACGTATGAATCACAGCCTGGATGATCAGGTATTCTTTGCAATAGATGGCTTCTTTGACCCTGTTACAGTGATGGTGATATCACATGGTAACAAGTAACATATCCTTTGTTCTAACTTTATTTACAGAGCGATGATTGGTGGTCTTAGTATTTTTAACTTTCGCTTGCAGGTAGTTTGAAACTTGTGATTAGTTTCTTTGTCTAATAAACTAGTAATTTTATTTAGGTACACTATTGTTTTCTTTCCCTAGAAATGTGGCAGGCCTAATTGCAAATATTCCTGTCATGATGGAGAGAAAAATAATAAGAGCTTGGCAAACGATGTGAGTTCTATGGGAGTTATGAGGAACATTCGAGACATGCTCAGGAAGTAGCATTTCACTATGCTCAATTCTATATTTTTATATTTCCCGAATGCAGCTGTTTCTTCCAATTAAAAAATTGTGCCATTTATCTATCACTCGTTCTTTTTTAGGGTAATCAAGTTGCAGTTGGAACTCACAAGGGTCTTGTGCAAGTTTGGGATGTTGCAAGCAGTAAAAGAGTGTGTATTTTAAATGGACATACTGCACGTGTAGGGGCTTTAGCTTGGAACGGTGACGTTCTCTCATCTGGATCAAGAGATAGATTAATTTTACAAAGAGATGTAAGGACTCCATGCATCATCCCAGATAGACGGTTGGCAGGGCATAGACAAGAGGTAAGAAGCTAATTTTATTTTCATATTGGGAATTATGAAAGGAATAGGATTCACTGGCAAGATGCTGCTAAATGGACTTTTAGGCAGTAATATTTTAGACTATTTGCAAACATTATATAACATACTTTCAGGAAATGAAGTACAGTATTAGAAACATTGATGACATATCCAAGTTTGTTTAAAAAATACCTTATTAACCAGGTAATGAAGGCACTTCAGTTCATATAAAGTATGTAAGCAATAATAAGTAATTAATATTTTGATTTCCGTATAGTGTGAAACTTCTTACACTCTTTTGTATCCATCTGTGAATATTTCTTAGCATGTCACTAGTTTATGATATTCCAAATATTTAAGTACAGTATATTGTAGAAAAAAAATTGAAAAGTTACCTAAGATTAATATAAGAAGGAAAGACATGATAGGACAAGAGAGGTGCACTTGAACAGATAGAGTATATATGAGCCCAGCTATGGATACGAGAGTTGAAAGCACTGATAACTTTGGTTCTATTGGATCAAGCATTTACTTTTCATAATTTTTAGGATTAAGCACACCCTTGATATTTCTACTGTATTACTCTTATGAAACAAAGTAATTTATTTATCAGGTGTGTGGTTTAAAATGGTCTCCAGATAGTCAGTATTTGGCATCTGGTGGTAATGACAATAAGCTCTTTGTGTGGAATCTGCACTCACTGACGGCCGTCCAGACGTACACAGAACACAATGCTGCAGTTAAAGGTAAAATGGCTCTTGCATTGAAGGACATCTGTTAAAATTTAATTTTTCTGTTCAATTTGTGTGTACTAGATATTTTTTCTCTGTCCAATTTGTGTGCACAGTTTTTTTTTCAGTTCTCAGTTCTGCTTTTTTACATTGTATATTTATACATGTACTGTATATATAAACAGCATACACTTAGTGGAACCTACGCTTGAAACAATCAAGGGGGATCCTACGTCTAATGTTACCCATATCTAATAATACAGTATGTCTAATATGTTACCCGATTCTAATAATATGTCTAATATGTTACCCGAGACTAATAATACGTCTATTATGTTACCCGTATCTAATAAGGTAAGAGGAATGTTTACAGGGATGGTACTTATAAAGGCTATTACTCTAGTCACAGCCCTCTTGCTGGGGGTAGGGGTGTAACTCATAAAGATCATAAAGCATCTACCAACTTGAAAAGTGACATGATATTTGGGACATTGTTTCTTTGCTCAGGGCGTGGTTTTTAAGAATACAGAAAGACAAAAACCTTGTTTTGAATACAGTTTCTCTATGTGAATACAGAAATGCCTCATAGAACCTTTATGCAATGCAAGAGTTAAAGCACCAAGTTGTAATGCCTGAATTCTCTTATCTAGGAAGTACTGTAGATTGAATATGTTGAGATCTTGCTTGCCATGCTGATGTGTATTGACAGGAGTTAACTTACAGGGCATTTAAAGAGTTTTGTTAAAATGATGTGGCATTTGTTATTTTGGTATATAATATAGTGCTGTATTGACATTCCTTAGACATTTCATTTTAATACATTCTTCAATATATTTTTTGATAGCTATTGCCTGGTCACCACATCATCATGGGTTACTTGCCAGTGGAGGAGGGACAGCCGATCGCTGCATACGTTTTTGGAATACATTAACTGGACAGCCAATGCAGTGTGTGGACACTGGTTCACAAGTTTGTAACTTGGCATGGTCCAAACATGCTTCAGAACTGGTAGGTTTTGATTCTCTTATTTTTTGTATTGTTTACTTTTAAGTGTTAAGTGGACTATATCACAAGTGCTGACTGTTGTATTGGCACATTTGTCGCTTAATTTTTCTTCTAAAGTTGAGACATTGCTAATATACTGTAGTCATTTATTCTCGTGTTAAAGACATGGATTACAATAAGATAATTTTTTTTTCTGTAGGGAGCTCTGTCGGCTCCCTGAAGCTATCCGAACTGATATGTACTACTTATGCTCCTTACGCCTACTGGGTACCACGAGCCAGAACCTGGCCCCTCAGAGAAACGCAGGGAGTAATAGCCTATGAGCACTTTACATTTAAAGTATGTCATAATTGCCATCAACTGGGAAAGGACCAAGAAAGGTAGGCGAATAAAAACAGACCACTGTCTGGGTTAACCTGTGCAATCTACATCTGAAAAGATCAAAAGAACTCCTATAGAAAGAAATCCAACAAACTATACTTCAGCAACTAGCACTCCCACTTGTTAGATTTGGGTTTTAACCGATTAGCAACACCTTGCTTGGGCTTTCCTTAGCAATGAGCCTACGGGCCTTGAAGTCAGGGTGGGGTTTAGTTGGTGATGGGATTAGAGCGGCTTTGGGGGTTGCCCCATTCAGGTTGGGGAAGAAGGCATTCGAGCCTGCTCCTCTGCCACTGCCGAGGCTTCTGGATCCTACCGTCAGCCCCCTTTTGCTGCCTTTCCCCTGAACTGTCTTTTCTTCAGGGGTGGAGGGCATGGGGGATGGCTATGCCCCAATGTTTCTTGCAGGTACTCTGGGCTGTGGGGGGGGGGGGGGGAGTCCACTAGCAGTTCTGGGGCAGTTTGACCCTGCTTGGGCTTTGTGCATTCTTGGGAGGGGGGGGGGGGGTTGTCCCTCCTCTTGTCTGCTTTAATTTCCCACATTTGCTGGTGTGAATTCAGCTCTTGTTTGTTTACATGTGCATAAGTGTGTTTGGAGGCATTCTTTCGCCTCCATTGCGAGTTTTATCCTTCCATTACCGTTTCTCTGCTGTGTTCTTTCTTCTAGGGCATTCTGCCCTTTTTTGTTCCTCTGGGAACACTTGGGGTGTTGGTTTTCACCCGGTTTTGTGTTTTCTGTCTGTGGTTGGATCTGGGCCCTGGGTTTTGGACCCAGTGTCCCTGGCCATTTCCTCTGCTTGCTCTCCCACACCTTTTGTCCCTCGGTTTTCTGTCCATTTCTGCCTGTTTAACCAGGGGTTCAGTCTGGGTAATGTGGTTTGCCCTTCCTGTCTGTGGTGCATTTCTGCTGGCAATTGTGGTTTGGGCATCCCCAGGTTTGATTTTGGGTTTCTTTGGGCTCTTCAGTTTTGTTCCAGAGATTTTCTTCCTCTTGGGTCCCTTTTGGGGGTTCTGGAGGCCCTTGATTACCTCCTATGTGCCCGGATTTCCTCTTCTGCGGTTCCAGGGGTCTTTCTGGCTGTACTTTGGGTCTTGGCACGTGGTTTTGTGGTTGTGCTGGGGCTTTGGCTTCTGTTTGTTGAGGTGGGCCTTTGGTGCAGCTTTTGTGCCGGTTGCCTCCTACTGTGCCTTCTTTGTCTGGCCGGTGTGGTGCATGCTCTGTTCACAAATCGTCTTCTTGCTTTTCTTTTCTTTTTGTTTTCTTAAAAAAAATATCTCGGATGGGGCACAGGTCCCTTTACAGGTCCCCCTGTTGTCAGAGCGATGGGGCGAGGTTCGCTCTGTTGCTCATGCCTGGTCCCCGCGATACGTGGGCATTCGGGTCGTCTCCTCTGGCCTGTGAAGGCGTTGGGCAACTCCTCCTACTCCTTGAGGGGGTTTGGGGCTGATGGGGTGGGCTTCTTCCTTTGCGCTCTGTCGGGTCATCTTGGTGTCGGTGTACTTGTGCGTGGGCGTCCCTCAGGTGGGTTTCCCGCCTGTTTCAATGCCGAAACGGGACTGTGCAGCTCTGCGGTTCATTCTGGACTTCTCCCGTCTGAACCCCTGGATACCTTGTCCTTCCTTTCGGATGACTGCTCTGTCTTAGGTTTGGCTTCTGTTGGAGCTGGGTGCCTGGGTGGGGTCCCTGGACCTCAGGGGCGTGTATTTGGACGTTCTAATCCTCCGGGGTTCAAGGACTGCTTTGGTTCATGGTGGGGCATTCGGCTTACCGCTTTTGTTGCCTTTTGACTTGAATCTGGCACCTCGCATATTCACGCGTCTTTCCTGGGTTGTAGTGGCCCTTCTGCGTCTGCTCCGGGTTTGGGTTATGGCTGGCCTGACTTGATGACTTGTTGGTGTGGGCTCCCAGCCGGTCTGCTGCTCTGCTCGCCAGGGATGTGTTTCTTTCCCAGCTCTCCGGGTTCGGGTTCCTGGTGAACTGGAGGATGTCCCGTATGGTTCTGTCCCAGGTTCGGAACTGGCTGAGTCTTGTTGGGACTCTCGGGCCACTTCCATGTCTCTTCCTCCAGAAGTGTTGCTGCGGCTGTGGTCACGCCTTCAGCTGTTCTGGGGGGTCCTGGGTCACTTGGTGGTTACTCAAGCGGTTGTGCAGGAGTCTGACATTTGCTAGGTTGGTTTGCCCACTGAGTCAGGTATGGCTTTGGCATCTGTTTTGGGTCCTTCGGGGACATCCTTTCACCTCTTGCAATCGCTGGGTTTGACCTCCGTGAGCCTTACGTCGGTTGCTGTGTCGCCGGCTTCCCCTTTGGGGTTTTCAGGATTCATTTCCTTAGCGCCTCCCCGAGCCCTCGTTCGATGTGTTCATGGACACGTCATCTCCCAGCTGGGGCTTGGTGTCCAGTGCTCATCAGGCTCACTGTCCAGTGCTCACAGTACGGTGTAGGTGTTTGCGGCTGTGGCAGGCGCTGCCACTTTATAATACAGTGCCTGCAGTGCACTGGTTCTGTGCTGGTGTACACTCTCTGGGTTGATCCGGTTTCCTTGGATCCCTGTTCCAGGGCTCGTGTGCGTATTATAGGAGGTGCAACCCAGGGGATAAAGTTGTGCTTTAACCCTTAATGCGCAAAACTTCTTGTGATGTGTGACATTGAACTCAGTTTTTAAATTTTCTGAAACTCCTTCAAATGTTCTGTGAATAATTTACTAGGCAAATGCTCCAACTTTGTCTAAATGATACCAGTGTAACTTTAAAAACAAGAAAATACAAAATAATTATAAAATTGAATATTGAAAACTTCAGATTTTGAAATCAGCAGCAAAAATATAAAAATATCACCAACTGTTCATTTGGTGTTACGTGTATTATGTTCTCAGAATAGCATATGATTTTCATTGTCATATATTTAGAATATAGGTTTTCAGTATAGTTTACTGTAAAAAAAAATTGTCAGTATGGCAATAGGGAATTGTCAAAAGGGAGGCCGGCGGCTGAGCGGACAGAACACTGGACGTGTGATCCTGTGGTCCCGGGTTCGATCCCGGGTGCCGGCTAGAAACAATGGGCAGAGATTCTTTCACCCTGATGCCTCTGTTACCTAGCAGTAAATAGGTACCTGGGATTTAGTCAGCTGTCACGGGCTGCTTCCTGGGGGTGGAGGCCTGGTCGAGGACCGGGTTGCAGGGGACACTAAGCCCTGAAATCATCTCAAGATATGGCATTTGAAATATGTGCAAATTTAGAAAACAAAATTTATTACTCCAAACGTTTAGAGTTTATGAAAAATCAATTCTATAGGGACTGTAGAATAGACAGCTGCGCACACTATATGTAAAATTAGTGAGAATCAGTCGGAAACTAGATTTTTGAATACTGAAGTAAGTTGAAATTCTAGTTATAAATATAATTAAAGTTGAAGTTATTGATAATGAATAAGGCAGTTCTAATTCATGAATTTACTTATATGTTGTAATAAACATTGTTTGGCATTCGTACTCAAGTATGTGAAAGTTGTAATCAATGTGTGTAGAAATGAAGTCAAGAAAATATAACCCCCAAAAAACAAAATATAGGGATAATTATAATAATTATAATGATTTAGGGAATATATTTAGGGTATATTTTATATAAGTGAAAAAGCCCTAATCTGGTCCCTAATCATCAAAACAACCTAAAGAAACAAGGAAAATAGTTTGAAATCTGTGAAAAAATCTGCCCAAAAAAATTAATCCTGAGTTCTGTGAGTTGTAACTGATTTATTTGTTGACCAATTTAATTTTGGCTTCACATAGTTCGGGGCGAATATGCACTCTCCACGATGTAAAGGTTAAAACAAATTTAAATAATAAACGAAGGAGGGAAAAACCTAAAAAAAAAAAATCCCCTAAAAAATATTCTTTGGATATTGTTGAAAGTAACTGATAATAACATTGGGCAATGTATTTATATGATATATAACAAAATAGAGCAGAATAACATAATTACTCATTATTATTTGTGTTATTATATATTATTCACCAATGCTATAAAGGCACCAGCTGTATATCCACTTTGTGGACACTTCTTACTACTATTCTTCTTTGTGTGTGGGACAGGTGCTTGTATCACTTTATTATTGCATAATCCATCACTTCCAGTTAATAGGAGCTGTTCTCTTTATCAACAAAATGTTAGTTTTTTTTTTTTTTTGTAATATTCGTCTAAAATCAATTTCTGAAAATATTTTGATGAAAGTTTCACAAAGCTGAAGCCAATAAGTTGGAGATTTGTTTAACATTTTTAAGTAATTTTTGCATAATTTGAATTTTTTTTTAATTATACCCCCCTTCAATATAACACATCATATGACGTTTTGTGCAGTTCAAGGGTTAACCCTAAAAAAAAAAATGATTCTTTAACACCTTTTTAAATATGCGAATACTCATTTTATAGTAATATTATTATAGAATAATAAAACATAAACTACTGTAGTGTACTGTAATAATATATATATTCTTTCAGGTCTCTACCCATGGTTATAGCCAGAACCAGATTTTAGTTTGGCGGTACCCATCACTAGCACAAGTGGCCAAGCTGACTGGCCATACTTATCGTGTCCTATACTTGGCAATGTCACCTGATGGGGAGGCTATTGTTACTGGTGCTGGAGACGAAACTTTGCGGTTTTGGAATGTTTTTAGTAAAGCTCGATCTCAAAAGGTGGGTACAACATATCTTGTGGGACTTTACTAATTTCTTAATTATAGATTTTGTTAGTAAAGTTATTTCTGCTTGCCTCTTGAAGTCTATCATGATATTACAGCCTGGCTAATCTACAAATGTTTGATAGGGACTTGCTAAGTTCTCTCTTGGAAGGACAGTAGTTCATGGTTTGCTATTCTTTCAGGGAATACTGTATATTGAGAAGTTGAAGGTCCGTAATATTCATTGAGTTAGCTCCATCTCCATTTTCCATGGAACCTACTTTTTACCTTCTGGTTATGTAGAGCATTTTCTAGTGAAGAAGTTTTAAAAATTTCTTAAATATTTTTTCAGGTAGGGTAACGCCTACCTGATTTATTCTAATCCCGGCAATTGTTTGGGAGTCTGAACTTTGCCCTTCTGGTTTTTCCTTTGGGCAGGGTTTGGCTTCGGAGCCTGTTCTGGTTTCTTCAGGGCAGCTCCTTGTGCTTCTCTAATAGTTCATTGGTTCATTGAACCTCTTCTGTGGTTCATTGTCTCAGCTGTGGAAGGGGGTTCTCTTTGGTCCCTGCCTCTTTCAAGCTGGTTGCTTCATGTAGCTCTGAGTCTAATGAGTTCTCGGGGCATCAGTGTACATGTGTACGGAGTTCTATGAGCCTACCGGGGACCACGAGCCAGAACCTGGCTCCCTCAGGGAGGCAAGGGAAGCAATGGCCTATAGAAACCCGCGTGTGGTTGGAAGCATTCTATGTCTGCCATTGACCGGGTCAGGCACCTAGAAAGGTAAGCGTCCCAAAACAAACCCCCAATTCTGTTGAAAATTGCTACCACAAGCCGAACAAGTGGATAGAACTCCCTTGAAAGAAACCCCCTCCCCAGGAAGGGGAAGGGGGAGCCCCAGACCCACCGCGCTGGCTATCCACCATCAGTTCTTTGGCTGATGCTAGAGGTTGAGGTCGTATGCTCCTGATCCGGTGGTTGTTTCAGCACTGTACCTAGAATGTGGTGACTGTCTTCTAGGTGGTGCGTGAGCCGGGAGTGTTTCTCCAGTACTCGGGCTGTATGTGCCTAGGGTTTCCTTCCCTAGGTGCCCTATAAGTACTGCCCTTGGGGTTTGGGGCCACCTTCCATAAGTTCCTTGGGTTGTGCCCCTGCTAGGCAGTTTATGGCTTAGTTTTTGGCCGCCCTTTGTGTGCTCGGGTATTCTGTCTCCCTTGTTCACCTTAGGGTAAGGGGCAGTTTGCACTGGTGGGGCGCAGGATACTGCGCAGCCAGCTCTGTTCCGCCATGATTGCGGAACAGAGGGGTTTTCTTTTTCTTTTTGTTTGTCTGCCTGGTGGGAAGTCTGCCTTCGTTCTTGTCCCCTGTGTCCCCTGTGTACTGAGTATTCTTCCTTCTTCCAGTAGTTCCCCCTGCTAGGTCCCCATGAGTATAAAATACATGGGGTATATTGCCTAACTCAAGTGTGAGTTGTTATGCTCTGTTTTTGTATGCTGAAGCACTTATGTGTTTAGACATTATGCACCTACACTTTCTTTTATACTAATACAATTATGTATTTATATCTCCATGTAAACAGTCACTTTTAACAGTTACTTCTCTCTTTCTTTTCAGGAGTCCAAATCGGTATTGAATCTTTTCACTTCTTTGCGATAACTAAGCCAAAAGAGAGTACGCATTTTCTCGTGTGGTTTGTAAATAGTGGGTTAAAAAGGTGGTGTGCATTTGTATGGTCAGTCAACATTTTTATATATATGTATATTTATCAAGTGTAGTATAATGTATATACTTTAAGTACATTGTAAATCTTTCTGATTTGCGTGTCTTGACAAGGTGATGTTATTTTCGTACGTAAATGCATCTTGTTCTTCACTTAGAAGTATGCTTATTTTTTCTAAATTATTTATCTCATTTGTTATATTTTTTCATGTTCCTCTCTTCTCTCTCTCCCTTCAGTAAGTTTTCACTGGTTGGGTTTTTTGGTTTGACTGTGCAGTATCACTTGTTTGCTGGTAGTTAGGCTTGTTATGTTGTTAACAAAAAACAAATATATACATATATATAAATATATGCTCATTATTTCCCATGACAGTCACTAAAATTCTATTTTTCATAATGTATAACCGGTGACCATCTGAGAATTTTGAGATCTCGAGAAGCACCTGGTCTACTAACCTGTCGTCTGCCTGTTCAACACACTTGTATCGTATGGCAGTGTATTCTGAAATTGATGTATTATCTTATTTAGAGTTTGGGTTTTGGAGTACACAGTAATGCAGTGATGGAGAGTTTGGTCAGGATAATGATAGGCAGTCGTCATGTGAGCATTTTTCTCAGTTTGGAATCAGTATACTACAGGATTGTATAACTCTAAATATAAATACATCTTCACATGTTCCACTTGGAAATTATGTAATTCATTGTTTGATTTGAGAGGTTCTGCTGTATCTACTTAATGAATTAGGCAAACTCCTACTCAGTACATGTATGTGAATAATGTTTCCCGTTGTATACCAATACTAAGTTATGTCAATGTTCCCATTAACTTAGTCGTGAGACTTCCATTGTGAATGGTTCAACCAAGTTTGGTACCTGTTATGTCAACATGTATGGCATTCTAACATATAGCGTATCTTCTATTCACCTCAGAAGGAAGAACGGTTAGCTTACAAAAAGTTATCATTCTCTTTTGTATTACCTTATAGGCCTTGTTAAGGCTTTATTCAAATTTTGTATATTATTTAAATCTTTAAACAATTGTACTATTTCTGTGTATCAGCGAGAAATACTTGAATATATAATATATTTGAAAGGAAGAGGAATTTTTTCATTCTGATCTTTAATTATTTTTGTTAAAATTTAGTTGTTCAATGCTGAGATGTCAATTATCCAAAGTATAAAAAACTTGGACCAGATCCCTTTCACTTTATCTTTGCATTTGGAAAATGCAAACCAAAATTTGTATTTGGTCCCTAATATTTAAAATGCAGGACTCAAAAGTTACCGGAACTTTAATTATAAATAAATTTCCACGCATGTCTGAAATGACCTTCATTTGTTCTTTTTGAAAAGGTTGTTTCAATTAACCCAGATTAGAAAATCTCTAGATTACCAACCTCAACTTAATCTTGTTTCTCATGTTCAACCATAACATCCGACTGAAAGGTGTTCATGGGTCACCGTAATCATTTGGATTCCACTGTAGACATTTCAAGTGGTATAAACCTGCACATCTGCTACACTTACTTTCATATTCCAGTGACACCCAGTATATTATCCGAGCCAAAATATCCTCAGATTGTTTTGCTATTATTTCTACATCATTCTGATGCAGAACGGTTAAGTTACTGCACTACACAGTCAGTTGAGGTTGCCAAATACGGTAAATAGCAGTGGCATGTCATGACACAAATGTTGTGAAAATTCTGATATTCTTTTGATATCAAGATATGAAAAGATATCCTGATATTTTGAATTTTAATATTTTGAGAGGATATCCTGATATCCTTTTGATATGGGCTTAAAAAGACAGGTTCAGTGTGATATCAACTCTTGGATTCTCTCTGTCTGTGTCGTGGAGGACTTCGTCTCCCGTTCGGTACCTTCTCTAGCCTCCTGCTCCTTCCACCTAGTCCAGCAGGCAACATAGCAGGGGCAGAAAGAAGATGATCATCTGGTAGCAAAGATGATGAGCACCTATCAAACTCACACTTGGCAAGAGCAGGCTCGACGGGCTGATCCATAATGGACCAAGCCAGAGACCTGCGGTGGATTCCCAGGGCCTGAAGGTGCCTAGCCAAGCACAAACTCCAGGCAATGGGGTTTTTCAGATCATGTGCTATGGAAAAAACAAAAATATTAAAATGGAGGCCATGTATAAAACACAAGTCAAATCATAATATTGGAAGAAGTATTGTAAAAGATTTGAGAGTAAGCATGTTGGAAGACCTTACTTTTAAAAAACACAACAAAGTAGCTGGCATAATAATAAAAAAAAAAATTGAATTTAACGAAATGCTAATTTCTGGGTTAGCCCCAGTTGTTCATTGAAACTACAATACTGAAATAGAGTCTTACTGCAATCTGTCAGTTGCAGAGTTCTTATTTGCCTACCGGGGACCACAAGCCAGAACCTGGCCCCCCCCCCCCCTCCCTCATAGAGGTGCAGGGAGCAGTGGCACTATCCACAGTTTTATGTAAATTTACTCATGTCTGCCACCGCCAAGGAAAGGCACCTAGAAAGTCATTAAAACAGACCACTGCTTGGTTAGAAATGAGACTGAAAACAAACAAAACATCCAAGAGAACTCTCTAACAATGTTAACATATGATAAAAAATTTGTGACACTAGTGTGTGCTATTTTGCCCCACTTTCTTAAATGGTTTGGGGGAAGGAGGAAAGCACACTGGGTCACCCAGCTGCTCCACCACCAGTTCTTATGATGATGGAAGCCATCTCGATAACCATGGAGAGGGTGTCAGGGAATCATTGGGGCTCACCCAGAAATGAACGTTTCATAACATTCAATGCTGGTTTTCTGAGGGAAACCCATTGTGGCTCCCCAAAGCTAATTACCCATAGAGAAGAAAAAGGGCACTGACCAGGGAGGAGAAAGCACCGTAGGTATCAAGACAAAGAAAAGACCAATGGCTGCATAAGGCCGCTGAGGACCAGGAACATCTACAAGAAGATACCTAGCTGCCAAGACTGGAACAGGGAACCAAGGAAACCAGATCAACCCCACGAGTTCACCGAAGCAGAACCAGTGGCACGAAGATGTTTGGCACTCCAAAAAACAGCATGAAAGTGGAAGATCCAGACAACTTCCTTATGCATGATATCTGAACCCCTGTAAATATAACTGATATCAGCACGAGCATGGCAGATTTTGAAAGGGAAATTTGACAACATGCCCCATGCACTCAGTCCAGGGCAAGACTCATAGAATTTAATTTTTATAAAGAAATGCAAGGTGACAGTAGCGTAGGCACTCAGTATAGTGTGGAGGAAGAGCTTGGACACAGGGGGAGATAGCAGATGCTCTTAAATCAGCAGACATAGCCCCCCCCCCCCACTACACAAGGGAGGGAGCAAAGCATCAGCAAAGAATTATAGACCAGTTGCACTAATGTCCCACAATAAAAGTATTTGAGAGACAGATCAGGAGTGAGGTCACTAGTTTCATGGAAACCAATGACTTCCACAACCCAGGCCAACATGGATTTAGAGCAGGAAGATCATGCCTCTCTTGACCATTACAAAAGCAATGACATTAGAAAGAATTGTTTCACTGTCAGTAGTTAACAAATGGAATGCATTAGGCAGTGATGTGGTGGAAGCTGAATCCATACATAGTTTCAAATGTAGATATGATAAGAGCCCAGTAGGCTCAGGAATCTTTACACCAGTTGAGAGGCGGGACCAGAGCCAAAGCTCAACCCCCCTCCCCCTCGCCTCACAAGCACATCTAGGTGAGTACATGTACCCTGCTCCCCATCCTCAAAGAGCCGATGGGTATTGGGTAAGAAATGTGAAAAATTAATTAATTAATAATTACCATGGCAATCAATACAGTTTGTGCATCCTGGGAATGGTCTTTTTACCATTCTAAGCCTTGTGGGACTGAGCACAGAGGACGGCACGGAGACCTTGTAGGACTGAGCAAAGAGGATGACACGGAAACCTTGTGGGACAGCAAAGAGGATGGCACGGAGACCTTGTGGGACTGAGCACATAGGACGGTGTACGTACGATTATGTTATGTTGTTGGGTAGATTAGATACACAGTGTTTAGTGAGTTTCATATTTACTTAGTAGTCTTGATTACAGTAGTCGGTTGTTGGCATTGTTGTAGACGTTCAGACGGAGCTTTAATTACTTACTTACTTGTACACACATTAAATGCACTTAGATGGAACAGATGGAATTAAATTTCTAGTTTTGGAAAGATTCGGGTGTGGGGCTGGAGGGGAAAGAAAAGTTTTGCACGAAATTCGAGCAAGACGTTAAAATATTTCATTGGACGAGCAAGAGCAAGACGTTAAAACACTTCATATATGTACTGTTATTTAATTAATTAAAATTTGGAACATAAGACGGTGATGGACGCATGTTCCATGTTGAGCTTGTTCAATATTAAGTTTTTATTATGTGAATTAAGATTTTTACATTAGTAATAGTTATTCTTTTTTACTTGGTTAAATGTGAATTTGTACTTTAGTTAAAAAATAGCAAAAATGCTTGAGTTGGCTACGCATGGCCTGGAAACGAGTAACGTGTCTTGTGAATTGCAGATTACTGAAACCTCTTGCTTTTGTTTACTGCCACCCACTGAAGGCCAGTGACCCGCAAGTTGAAAAGCCCTGGAGCAAGAGTACAGAAGCTTGGGCTGTCACCTGAATGTGGAAATAGTTTCGTGAACACTCCCGCCGGTCTCCTGCGTTGTTCCCTTAGTGCTGACTTTATCTCAACTTATTTTTCTCCTTTCCAAGATGTCTTGGTCCACTGGTCTCTTGAGCTATAAGTTTTCCACCTGATGCTGCTGACATGGTTTCGTGAAGGCGCTAAAACTACATTAACTGTACTGTTGATCTCTTGGAAGAAAAGACTGACGTATCTGCCACTTAATTTTGTGTTTGCTTGTGCATTAAATATTTAATCTTTGATAAATACAAGGCAGTAGGATAATAAAATTTAATAACTAGTAGTTAAACTATTCCTATTGTCATTTACTGGTGTATCCATCTGGACTAAGATTATATAAAGTCTAAAGTTCTTCAGTCTAATCTACAAATTAGTTGAAGTTCAAAAGTTTGATAGCCACATGACAAATGGGTCTGATCTTGTCTGCCAGCTTCAGTATTTTACAGAGACTTAAATGTCTAATGTAATGCATAAAAGGGGACAAGTGCAAGACTTCACCCCGTAAGTCTCTGGAAGACACGAGTGAATTTTGGAGGTGATCATGTCTAAAATTGGTGAACAGAACTATTTAGCATGGGTGGAACATGAACAAGGGGACAGGTGGAAATGGTGACCAAATGAGGAAATGATCCGGGAAAAGTGCAAAGCCATTATGACTATATAGCACTTGGAAGGGGTCGGGATAAGGATTTGAGATGGGACAGGGGCTTAGCAATAGTGCCCAACCACTTGGACGGTCGGGGATTGAATGCCAACCTGCATGAAGCGAGACAGTCGCTCTACCCTCCAGCCCAAGTGGTTGGGAGAGCCACAGATTTTAAAGATGGAATGCATTAGGCAGTGATGTGGAGGAGACAAGATTCTACAGTTTGAAATGTAGATATGATAAGAGCCAAATAAGCTCAAGCATCTGTACACCAGTCAATTGACAATTGAGAGGTGGGATCAAAGAGCCAAGGCTCAACCTCGCCGAGTACACAATTTTGAGGATGATCTGGGTACGCACAGAATAGGTCCTGTGGAACACTCGCACACCTTCCCATCTCTCCAGAATCGCAAGCATTTAACCAGGCCAGTTCAATGTAATTACAGTATAACTGGAAACTAAGCCTCTGCAGACCTGTGCAACTTTTTTGTTAGTTTGCCTACTTGAGCTAATGGGTGGTTTTATAGCCCCCCTTTTTGAAAGTTTATTAGACTAGGTTAACACTAAGAGTAGGACTGTCCTACCGTGGGAGTAGAGACTTTGTACCATCAAATCTTGCCAAGAGTTAACTAAGAGTGCTTACCACCTAAAATGTCAAGCTTCAGTGGCATTACTAAAAGCAAGATATGAGGAAGGTGTTGTATGGAGAGGGAAGGGGTTAGTCAGTCTAGTTTGGAACAAGATTCAC